AAAAAAAAAAAAAAAAAATAAACCTTGGGATAAATCTGCCATCCAGCTTGACAAGGTCACCGATGAGTTTCGTCATGATTTCGGGGTCAAAGGTTGGGAGTGCAATGCGCTGGGTTGACTTGTTCAGTCTGGCCATGTTTTTGTCAGGTCTGAACAAGCGAATAGAGCCATCTTTCGCTTTATAGGCCTTCATACCCTCAAAGCACTCAAACGCATAATGAAAGACAGAGGCGGATGGAGCCAGACTCAAATTCTGGTATGGCATGATATTTGGAGCAAGCCATCCATCTTTGGTGTTCCATTTCACCTGAAGCATATGATCTAGGGTATGCTGGTCAGTATTGGGTTCAATAACTTATGCCGGATATTACTTCGGCTGGAATTGGGCGAAATACCGGTGAAGGTGGCTCCGAATACCAGGTCCTTGTTCTGCTGCAGCGGCTTGGGAGATTCAGACTTTGTGATGGTGAGCTTTGAGTAGTCAATGCCAGGGAGGCCATCACTGCGTGAGCGGCTGGCACTGTAGTTTCTCTGATATCTGCCGAACCTGGTCGTGACAGGGCTTTTAGGGGTGGTCATTGCGCTGAGAGTTCGGTTTAACGGGACGAATGACTTCATAACTGCAAGGATAAACCAGAATTCACCAGAATCAATCAAAAAGAAGAAGACGGATCTTCGTGGGATTCAATGGTTCATATATGTTCAACAGGAATAAGTGACTCACGTAATCTCGCACGTCTCAGGATGAAATCATTGAGAGGCGAGAGAGCAGGAGAAACGGACGCTTAACCGCGGTCGTTTCGCTTGCGGCCCCCTATGCGCCAATCGGATCACGGGATCGCGGCTTGCTCGCTGGCTGTTGGCTCGGCCGGGTGGGCCTATCGGGAATTTTGTTTCTCCTTCTTCCGGCCGAGACAGCAGAGAGTCACGTGGATAGTCACGTGGAGGTTTCAGGTTTTGCGAGAGGCCGAAAGGGGAAGATCCGGACGGCGCGGCGGCTGGCGGGCGGCCAGGGAGCATCTCAGATCAGCTTTCACCACCACCGGACGGGACAGCCTTAGTATACGGAGTATACAGTGCCAGTTTCAGGGGTTTGAGGACCAGCGTTCTCGGCATTTACGACCGTTGTTCTGGCCCTATCAATTGACTTTTGAGGAGTTGTGTTGCCTGGATTATCATCCGCGCTAACTAGTTAACTATCGTGTCAAACGTTCAAACTTGATGCCCAAGGGACCTCACATCATACCCACCCCCATCCCAGACCCAAGAGGTGCGATATCCGATATCTGCTTTGCGGCGCTGGAGTAGATACTCGATGCAGGATACCCAAGGGTTTGATAGCTAGTGATACCAACATGTTCCTGGGGGGCCAGCTTTACTTGATGCGACATTCAGCGTGAATCACCATTTGACCATTCACCATGTTCTCGTCAGCTTTGAAGTCGTTCTCATCGAACATATCTAATAACTACCAGTACTCGCCCAATCCCTCGTTTATTTCTGGTCCTTGGAAGGTCCATGATGGCAAGAACAAGAACTCTGGAAAAGCTGTCTCCATATTCATATTTGACCGCAAATCCCTGGATCCTCGGGCTGGAGGGTTGGTTTCGCGGTCAAACGCTACCTCGCTAAAGAAGGTCCATGAAGAAGTCGTCGAGAGGCTGAAGCGGGAGGCTGCAAACCTTGCCCGCCTGAGACATCCGTCCATTCTTCAGATCATTGAACCGGTGGAAGATACGAGAAATGGCGGCTTGATATTTGCCACAGAAGCGGTCACAGCATCGCTATCTGGCCTTCTACAGGAGAAAACGGACCAGGAACTCTCTAGTCGCGTCGGAGGGAGAGTCAGTCGGCACATGATTGAAGAGGCTGACGGATCAAGAAGGAGGCGGGATTTCGAGATTGACGAACTTGAGATTCAGAAGGGGCTTCTTCAGATTGGCAAGGGCCTAGAGTTTCTGCATGAGTCTGCCAAAATCGTGCACGGAAACCTCACCCCCGACGCCATTTACATAAACGCAAAGTCAGATTGGAAGATATCTGGCCTATCCTTTGCCGGGCCTACAAATCCCGATTCACAATCGCCACTACCGTCCCTTGCATTATCGGAAGCCTTGTATTATGACCCCCGGCTGCCCAGGTCTGTACAGCTTGATTTGGACTATACCTCTCCTGACTTTGTTATGGACTCCAATGTCTCTTCGTCGGCGGACCTGTTCTCTCTTGGGCTTATAATAGTGGCCCTCTTCAACTCCCCCCATACTTCTCCCTTGAAAACTAATAACAGTACGAACACATATAAAAAACTACTTAGCTCCTCTTCTACTATCCCTTCCCAATCAAATTCCTTTCTCTCTTCGGGGCCAATACCAAAGGATCTCTCAAACCATGTCCTGCCAAAGCTTATCACCAGACGACCAGCCCAAAGGATGAATGCCAGTGAATTCCAGCAATCTCAATACTTTGATAACGTTCTGGTTTCCACTATCCGTTTCTTGGACACTTTCCCGGCCAAAACACAAAATGAAAAATCACAGTTTATGAGGGGGCTATCAAGAATTTTGCCGGAGTTCCCAACTTCGGTACTAGAGCGCAAGGTTCTGGGAGCGTTGCTTGAGGAAAGCAAAGATAGAGAATTACTGCCACTTATTCTTCAAAATGTCTTCAAAATCCTTTTACGGGTCCCGTCAAGCCAAAGACTAGTTCCGGATAAAGTTCTTCCCCGTCTGAAGGAAATATTTCTCCCACCTAGTGGTAAGGGTGCCGTGCAAGAAAGAGATACAAGCAAAGATGCCGGGCTTATGGTTCTCTTGGAGAACACGCAAGTCCTTGTTGATAACTGCTCTGGCAAAGTCTTCAAAGATGGTTCGTCACTCATAACACCAGAATTACCTGTTTTCACTTGACTGACGCTTATCATAGAAGTGGTACCACTGATACTTCTTGGACTGGATTCACCAACGCACTCATTAGTAGATGCATCTATGAAGTGCCTACCAATAATGCTTCCGGTACTCGATTATACGACGGTCAAAGACTCAATATTTCCCCCCATAGCATCGGTATTTGCCAGAACTAGCAGTCTTGCAATCAAAGTCCGGGGTTTGGAGGCATTTTGCGTTCTCTGTGGTGGTTCATCAAAGCCCAGCAACCAGTCGACAGACGATGACCTTTCAGGAATTATCACAGACACCCAGACAGCAGCCAAGTCAAGCTCCAACTCTATTCTTGACAAATATACCATTCAGGAGAAGCTTATTCCATTGCTAAAGGCAATCAAGACTAAGGAACCAGCAGTAATGGTTGCTGCCCTGAATGTCTTCAAACAGATAGGGCACATAGTCGATATAGAATTCGCAGCACTCGAAGTTCTTCCAATTCTCTGGAGTTTTGCACTTGGTCCGCTTCTCAATGTCCAGCAATTCTCCTCTTTCATGGAGTTTATAAAATCGCTGTCGTCAAAGATTGAGCGAGAACAGACTAAGAAGCTGCAACAACTATCGTCGGGTGGTGATGCGGGAGGGTTTTCCAAGAATTCGTCACTCCAAACCGGGAGGATGTCTCCTTTGAATAACGGGGGAGAAACCGGCGGCGACAAATCCGACTTCGAGCGCCTTGTGTTGGGCAAAAACAAGGCATCATCTCCCTCCATAGACGCTTGGGGTGATTGGGGTGACTCGTCTACCTCGATGGCCCAAACTTCTACAAAGACAGAAACCGTGCCTCAATTCTCATGGTCTAGTGGCAGTACTGCTGCTGCTGCTGCTACCGCACGACAAGGAAACGGCGGGCTAGTCAAACCGAACGCAAACATGCGATCAATCACACCCGATACGACTATTAACTCGTTCCCAACGCTGCAGCCGGGTCATAAGAGCAACACTTCATCGCTCTCTTCGATGGCCACCCTCCAGCCTCTCTCTCCCAAAGCTCCTCAGGGCAGCATGATGATGATGGGAAACAACAACTTCGGCACGCAGCAGGGTGCTAGCCAGTTAAATCCTTCCAGCACCAACTCCTTTAACATTCCTACCATTGGTGGCAGGCCGGTTAACAACGGCAGCTTATCATGGCAGAGCCAAGGTCAGATGAATACCACGGCGCCCTTATCTCCGTATACCATCGCTCCGCCTCCTCAGAGCAACAACCAATTCCAACGGAGTCATTCGGCCACCTCGGCCAACACCACGTCTGCCTTTCCTAGTCTAAACTCACCTCCGGCTGTCACCTCCAACCAGCAGCAAAAGCAGGGACTGGATAAGTATGATAGTTTGCTCTAGAACTCGAGCGCATTCAATACCTTTGAGGACATAGCTTTATGGCGGAAAATTTACTTGATTAGACAGTTCCATATCTGCTATCTCCGGTAACATGCATGCATCCTCGTGTATAGCTAGAACCAACTCTGAAGTTAGCGAGTTAAGTACATAAATAAATAGTTAACTAGTTGAGGAGCAAGTTCATCTAGTTAGTTATCGATAAGACAGACAGTGCGTGAGATGTCGTATTTAACAAATATTCAAATGAAGCTGCCGGCGGGAAAAAAAGGTACAGGAAGCCCAGGGCTACTGGATTGGCGCGTTAAGTTAATTATTCACGTTAGATTAAGCAGCAAATCGGTACATCGCAACCAAGGCCTCCTTGCATGCCCTCCATGACCCCTCTTCGCCGCAGCTGCAGCAGAGCGTCCAGCGGCTTCTTCTCCCTCGCCCTCCTCCGCAACCAACGTCTGCCTCCAGCTTTTCCTCCAGTTTTCCCTCCAGCTTCAGCTTCAGCGTTACGATCACCGTCAAAGTCTCTCCATCGGCATTTCTCGAGTAGTGGCAGCAAGCTGAACTCCGGAGCTATGGATACCCAGACGAAGCACCAGTACCTGGCCGACTCTCCGCCGACGATTGTGAGGCTTGAGATACGGCCTCACTTTGAGGCTCTGAAGGACGAGAAGCTCAAGAGATACTCTCATTTCATCAGCAGGTGAGCTTGCAGTCGGCTATTCTATATATTTCTGGATTATTTGTTTCTTTTGCGTACTCCGTGGGCGGGACTGACTAGTTGCTTGCAGGGCTGCTTTCCAGGGAACCAGAATCACTCTCCGTCAAGTCTCCCCCGAATCCGAACCGATATACGACCTTATAATATCTCTCTACAACTCCTGCAAGGGAGACTGGAAGGGATTGGCTGCAAAGACAAACACAAGCTCTGAGAACCTGCAGTTTTTCCTCGAGTATGCCGCGCAGTTCCTGGGGAACTGTGGAAACTACAAGGGGTTTGGCGACTCCAAGTTTATCCCCAGGATCCCGTCTGATGCTTTCGAGGCTCTGGCTTCGGGCTCGCCGGAGACGAAGAAGCTTTTCGAGCTTGCGTGCAAGACCGGAGGGGGAATATACGAGACTGCCTCGCCAGATCTGATGCATCTGGGATACCCCGAGAAGGGCCAGATGACGACTTATTACCCGGATTCTCCAACGATTATCAAGGAAGAGATCACTTTGATCGGTGATTTCCTAGAGAAAAAGCAGCTTCTACTGGAAAACACGAGACTCAGAAAGACCAAGGAGGGTAACTTTGAGCTGTTGATTGCGTCGGCGGAGACATCGCCGGCTGGCAAGGACAGAGATGTTGGAGATGTTCAGGGATGGGATCTTGAAGGCAAGCTTGCCGGCAAGAAGCTTACGCTTGTGTACGGTGACTATTCCGAGATCATGAAGAAGATTGCAGAGAGCATCAAGCAGGCCGGCGCGAACTCGGCAAACGAGATACAGAAGAAGATGCACGAGGAGTACTTCAAGTCGTTTACCACCGGGTCGATAGAGGCCTACAAGGAGAGCCAGCGTTACTGGATTCGGGATATCGGCCCCATGGTAGAGTCCGACATTGGCTTTGTCGAGACCTACCGCGACCCTCACGGCGTTCGAGGCGAGTGGGAAGGCTCTGCAGCAATGGTGCGTATCTGCCCAGCAATTGTCCGAATGCACTTCTACGTTTTACTGACTGCTATCGTATTTATGTATGTATAGGTCAACCTGGAGCGGACCAAGGCGTTCAGCAAGCTGGTTGAGAATGCCGAGAAGATGATCCCCAAGCTGCCCTGGGGCAAGGAATTTGAGAAGCAGACCTTCTTGAGTCCCGACTTTACCTCGCTCGAAGTGATGAGCTTTGCAGGCAGCGGCATCCCCGCTGGGATTAACATCCCCAACTACGACGACATCCGCCAGAACCTGGGGTTCAAGAATGTGTCCCTGGGCAACGTGCTGAGCGCAAAGGCGCCTAACGAACCAGTCCCTTTTATCCGCGAGCAGGACCTGAGCCTGTTCCGTGAACACCGCGACGCCGCGTTTGAAGTGCAGGTAGGTATCCACGAGCTGCTCGGCCATGGCACGGGCAAGCTGCTACAGGAGACCAGCCCCGGCAAATACAACTTTGACGTCTCCAACCCGCCGGTGAGTCCGATTGACGGCAAGCCCATCTCGACCTGGTACAAGCCCGGCCAAACCTGGAGCTCCGTCTTTGGATCGATTGCCTCTTCGTACGAGGAGTGCCGGGCCGAGTGCGTGGCCATGGCTCTGGGCTGCGACTTTGGCATCCTGCAGCTGTTTGGCTTTGGCGATGGCAAGGAGGACATCAACGGCGTGGCAGGCGACGTCCTGTATGCCAGCTACCTGCAGATGGCACGCGCCGGCGTCGTCGCCCTCGAGTTCTGGGACCCCAGCAGCAAGAAATGGGGCCAGGCACACATGCAGGCGCGGTTCAGCATCCTGCGAGTCTTCCTGGAGGCCGGCGACGACTTTGTGCGCCTGGTGCACGCGAAGGACGACCTCTCGGACCTGGAAATCCACCTCGACCGGTCGAAGATCCTCAGCCACGGCCGGCCAGCGGTCGAGCGGTATCTCCAGAAGCTGCATGTGTACAAGAGCACAGCAGACTTTGCGGCCGGCAAGGCGCTCTACGACGAGAGCACCCACGTCGACGACTGGTGGGGGACCAAGGTGCGTCCGGTTGTGCTGCAGAAGAAGGTCCCGCGCAAGGTCTTTGTGCAGGCCAACACCGTCCTGGAGGGCGACCGGGTGGTGCTGAAGGAGTACGAGCCGACGCTGGAGGGCATGATCCAGAGCTACGCCGAGCGCGACGTATAACTAGCATCTCCAAGCATCTCTAAGCATCTCCAAGCATCTCCAAGCATCTCCAAGCATCTCCAAGGCTGTCCCAAGCTGTCCTCCCATCACTGTCTCTGCCACGCCAACAACGCTTGCTCGACTTGCTCGACTTGCTTTCTCTATTCATCGTCTCTTCCTATTGTCGCGGCTCCTTTTATTGACGTCCCGGAAAAGCAAAAAGGGGCGACAATAGGAGTCCTGCTTAGGTAAGCCTATTGACATCGAGATCCAGCGAGGCGAAAAATGGAAGACAAAAGTGCTATTAAGATGCATGTTTGGGCGCTGCAGGGAAGAAGAAGGAGAAGAAGAAGCAAAAAACGGGCAGATTTCTTTTCTATTGATGCAGGCATGTCAATATGCTAGCCACACAGTTGATTAATGGTGTATGCTGGTAAATAATATTACACATAAATAATAATAAGGGGACCCCATGCCTGTGTGGGCGGTCAACAAAAGGGACTTCTTGTATGGAGTAGCCTGCCTGCCTGCATCTGAATATATTTAATATTGAACACTGAACTACACAACCTCCCTATCCTCATTGATCCTCTTTATAGCTCTTTGCCATAGCAACAGACTCCGCTTCTCCTCTGCCTGGACTTGCATATACATATATATATATATATATATCTTCTTCTGTTGTGTTTTCTCTTCCTCAGTCTGCTATAGCAACCAACGTTCTACTTTGGGACTGTTGTTATTCCTGCATCTTCACCAGATATCAGATTACAGAAGCACCGCCAAAGAAGAGGGCGACAAAAAGAGAGAGAGAGATAGAGAGAAAGGAGAAAGGAGAAAGAAAATGCTACCACCGTCGGATTCCCTTGCCCATCAAAATCTCAAGCTGGCCGAAGTCCTCGCTAGTATCCAAAAGCAGACTGCTGCTGCTGCTGCTCCTCCGCCACCATACGCTGCCACTGCAACTACTGCTACACCCGTGCCCAGCAACAACATCACTGCGCCCGAGCTGCTGGGGGAATTTGAAGATGACGAGGAAGACGATAACTTGTCCTTGGCCCCCATTGTCATCAGAATTGATACCTCCATCTCTATCGACGGGCAGAATAACACCGTCACTATCCCTTCTTCATCTTCCGAAGACAGTCACTCAGATGCTCAGAGCCCAGTTTCCTCAATACAACAGCTACAGCAACTACAGCAGCGTCGACAGGCCAAGTCGGCACAGCTGGCGTCGGCTATCATCTCAGCCTTGAAATCCGCCGGTGCTCTGGATGACCGGGAGACGGGCAGACAGCGGCCGATGGAAGTTGACGTCAACGCCGGCATTAGAATTACGGGGAATTCAAACATGATTTGTCCTGGCGCTCGTAAGAGGAGTTCATCGGACCTGGTTTCGGGACAGCCGGACAGGAAGCGTCGAGCACAGTCTGTATGTTTTCAACCAATTTACTACTACCCTATCCTCAGAGATATCCATTAACATACGAGGTATAGGAACCCCTAGATACCCCTGAGAGGAAACGAGTACTTCCTAGCAAGGAGCCAGCTGGTCCCTGAATATCCTCGTTTTCTTTTCTTCTTCGCTCCGATTTTTTTTTTTTCTCTATCAACGGAGCAGTCTGATCCGACCATGGCTTCAGTCTACATCCAAGTAGCCCAAAAGAAGCCATTGTCAATACGGATCAGGTTTGGTGTCATGACAATTGATGACGGATTCGGAATAGGGTAGGTTGTTCCTTCATTCATTCTGTGTGACACTGTTGTTTGCTTCGGTATCTTTGGTCTAACATATTGAAAAGCAGGCTATTCGACGAGCCTCCATTTGCTTGCTTTCTTTTATGTCACCCCCTGTTTCCCAATCCCCGCTATTCACTTACCGTGCAAAAGCGTTGAGCAAACTGAGATGCCCTTGATTTGACATAGAGATTACCCCATGCGAGTTTCACGGCCTTGTTTCAACTGACGACGGGAATGTATTACTACTATTGCTGCTGCTTTCATTCTGACGAGGAGTTGTACGGAGGGTTATTTTAGACATAGGCGGCCTTTAGAACTATCTTGTACTTTTTTTTTTTATCAATGTTCGTTACCTGAATGCTCGCTTGCTATTGTCCAAAACCCCTCTTAAGCTTATATGTTGGATCTATCCCAGAGCCATGGATAGCGGCCCATCCATCGCGCGACTTGGTTCTACGTTGGCTAGCTAGAAAGTTAACTAGTTAGTTGCTTGACGGTTTCCCCGGAACCAGCCAGCGGCCAGCTAAAGGTACTTGGTTGCATCAATATCTAGATGGCTGCACCATAGCCTGCGAACGACAATTTTTTCCCACGGCTTTCCGCTCTGCCTGGCTGCTTACCGATGCCTGGTTCTTCTCGTGGAGATCAACAAGCAAGCATCTATAACAAATTAGTTAGGAGACCCCGGTTCCATCATTGCCAGGTCGCTGGCCAGTTTTTATACTGGAGAACATCCCAGGGAACGTCAGTCGCCACGCAGAGTGACGTCAAGTCAATACATCAAAAAAGGTCTCTATCAAATATAAAAGGGAGCGATGTCTATGTAGGATAGAACAGATAGAATAAGAATCTTTGCATCTATCTTCGTTCTCTTTGGTATATCTTGAATCGAGTCTCATCTACAACCAGTTAACTACCGGCTACAACTCTCTAGATATCAAAAATGTCTGAAGACATCCGCCATCCAGCTGGAGAATTCCAACCATCGAGGCCTCGCGAGGAACACCCAGGTGGCCCAAAGGTATTTGGTTTTAATCCTCCTGTTCACTACGCACTTGTATAATAGATCAATATGCTGAACTTCTACCGCAACCAGCATAAACCCGGGGTCAAGGCATCTCCAGCAGACAATGTACCGGAGTCTCACGCCCAAGCTGTCCCTGTAGGCACTGCTCCCCGTGAGAATTTATTCCAACCCCGGCCGAATGTGGAGGACATGGGTGGTTATGACGAAGGTGGTGCATCTGCCAGTTCGACTTTGATGGGAGCTACCTCTGCGGACGTGGATAAGGGGATGGGAAAGCCATTGCAGGGTGAGACCAAGACCGAGATGAGACATGGGGGTGAACATCATCGGAAGCACCCAGGCTCGGGACTGGAAGGAGTGGGTGCAAACACTGCCAGGACTGAGACAGAGATGAATAGGCTGCAGAGAGAGTGAGTGGATGGCTAGGGGGCTGACCTGGCCGAAGGCAGGGGACAACCTGGTAGTTGACATCTAGTTAATTAGATGAATGCAGTACATTACTCACGAGGTTTGATATTCGCTATCTCCACGTAAGGCCCCTTTACTCCTTACGAACACACCAAACAAATACAACGAAAGAACAGGAAGGACGAAAAAAAAGGGAGAGATCTGAATTAAGAAGAGAAAGCAAAGACGGAGCCAGCTTGCGCCTTTTTGTACCGTATCCTTCTGTAGCCGGCGAATGCATAACCGTGTTCCCATAATACATCGATAAGGAGAGAAGGAAAAAAAGAAGAAAGAAAAGGGAGAGCTTAGAAGAAAGGGAATTCGGTCAATAGTTTCTGTAGGGACTTTCCAATAAACAAGCCAACAAAGGGGATATTCGCCAACGATGCATTAAAGGATGGCGGCAATAGCAGAGAATCATGATAGAATGGTCATTTGTTGACTTTGTCAGATGGGATAGATGGGGGTATCCAGGCCGTGGGCTTGGTTTGGGTATATATTTCTTAATCATCTCATATGATTACACTGCTATCAGGTAGACAGTGGCAATAAAAATCAATAGATACAGAGAGCATTCGGAGGCCCTTAGCGTATGATTGAATGGTCAACATAATGCAGTCCTCTCTGCCATTCCGGAAGTTGCTTGTTGCATTCGTACTGGTATCCACAGTTGTGACAGAGGGTCTAGTTGAAATTGTTGTTAGCCTTGAATTGGTACCAATGGTTATTTGGCGTATATAAAAAAAAGAAGAAAAACCTACCCTAGGTCCTGCTGGCCCATCTCGCACAGCCCACACTGCGGAACCCCAGACAAGGCAATTTGAGCAGCGCCATGCTTGTCGCTCCCAGTCAGCCAGGGTCCCTCCTCCACCTCCATAGCCAGCTGCTGCTCCAGTGTCTGGTGTGCCTCTGCCTGCAGGAGTACCACTTCGACCAGTTGGGCTGGGACTTCGAAGGCGACGTTTCCTCTTACTTCTCTCTCCACGGCCCATGGGGGTCTCGGTACCGTCCGGGACATCGAAATAGCCACCGGAGCCTTGTCGGGATAGCTCCGGTGCCGATGCAGCAACTGCACCTGTTGACGAAAACCTAGCCGTCTCTCGTCGAAGCCTTCTGATCTGGCGTTCTCGGTCACCTTCTCTCTTCTCAATCTCTTCCTTGGACAGAGTCTCAATCCTAGTTTCCCATTCGTCTCCTAAGGTGTCAGGGTCATATCGCCAGCCAGCTTCTTGGCCGTTTGCAGCCTGATTGTCAATTTCTGCCCCTAGACCACCATGACCACTGAGAAGTGCACCGCTCTCGCAGGCCTCTTTCTTCAGTTTCAAAACAGCTTCGTAAATCCCGTGGGCTATTGAGCTCACCCACTCTGGGCCAAGGCCAAGGTCTGCACATGTCACTTTTGAAAACTGTTCAGCCATCCCTCTTGAATGCAAAAGAGACCACTCAAATTTATCACTGTATAGCTTATTGTGGAGATTTATGTTGAGAACGACAATGCATCTATATGCATCGTCCGGATCATATGGAGAATCGGCCTCAGATGGATTCACTACCGCACTCCCATTCTGCTGTCCGGATTTTATGGTATCTGAAGGCGCAGCAGGGGTCGCTGGAGTAGTTTGCATCGGAGTGATGGGCCGTTCTGCAGTGACAGTAACCTTGGGCGCAGTATCTACCTTTTTCGGCATGGTCGCTTCAGTTTGGAAAAGGGGGTGCATAGCAACGCCAGCATACTCCTCTAGCTGCTGGCGGATCTGGTTACATATCGCCAAAGCTGTTGATTGTGGGTTTGGCAGGTCTAACTCGCGCACAAATACCGATGCAAACTCCTCTGGCGTCGTTAAGGCTTCGTGCAGGTTCCAGAGAAAATTATCCTTTATTCTATAAGGCGGCGCCGGCTCAGGTTTTCTGTAAGCAGGAAGGGTAGGGTTGATACCAGCTTCCAGGTAGTTTCGCGGCAATGGGAATGGTTCAACAGGTTGAAACGCCGGGATTTCAAGGTCGATCCGGATGGGTATAAGGTTCACCGGTAGTTGCGCCTGAGCCTTCAAATGTCTCTCTCTCCTATGCAATCAAAAGTTAGCGCTATAACTTCGTCAATGAGAAGCAAAAAAAGGACGAAAAGACGCGACGACTCGAATATGGCGTACCCTGCTTTGATAGACTTGCGTACAACCCAGTCTCGGTAGTTGGCCTGGACGTTGACAGGCGTGGATATCTCCTTGCCTAGCTTCTCCCCCGCGGGCCCCAGGTAGGGAGTTATTTCATCTCGTCGTAAACTGCGCAGCCCTGTGGGCCGTCGGGGGCCCTCGCTGTCCTCGAAGTCATCGTCATCGTAGTCGTTTTCTGCGTAGTTCACCACGACAGTCCCGCGCTTTGTCGTCCGTACTGGCGGGGCGACCGGCGCAGTAGGCAAAACAGGCGAGATCAGCGAATTGGCATACTGCCGCAATCGAGGAGCGTAGGAGGTCACATAGCCCAACGGCGGCATCGTGAAGCAATCGTGGGTGGTGCAGGCGTTGGGGATTTCTACCAGAGCAGCTCGATAGACATTGCCAAGAGCCGGCGGCAGCGCTTTTTCGACAGAGACGCGTCTAGGGGGACTCAGGGACGGCCGTCAGAGCGCGCAACACGCTGGCTACAAAGACGCTTGGGAGACGAAAAGGAGGGCAGGGGACAAGACAGTGAGAAGCAAAAAGCCAGCAGTCTCTTTTATGTGCTTCATGAAGCTGTTTTTTGCTTCTTCAGGTTTTTGTTGCTTCATTTTTTTTTTTTCTTGAAGGAAAAAAAAAGAAACATGACAGAGGACACGCTAGCCTAAAGAAGTTAGATGTAATTACATAAGCTATCAGATATAAAAAGCATTAAATATAAGGACGAGGAAGGATGATAAAAAGGAGGGAGATAAAAGGAATCGAGATGAAGACGACGAAGACGAAGACGGAGGCTGGTATCCATATGTATAGTTGGTGGTCTCTACATACAAGAGGAGGCAGGATGGACAGATGCAACAGGTGGGGGAAAAGAGGAAAGAAAATGCACAGAGTGACTGTAAGTTGCGCCCTAAAACACCTAAGGATCTGAAACAAATGATCAAAAAAGGGGGGATATGGAAAGGAATAGGAAGAGATAAAAGGTTCAAATTGAGGGAGAGTTAAATGGGGGCAAGGAGAAAGAAAACGGAAGACATAACATAAAATCCGTCTGGGATGATTCTCGTCCAGATGAAAGGAAGGCAGAGTCAGGGCTGTACGGGTACGGGTTGATTATATGCGGAGATAAGACGAAAGATTGAATCTGCTATTTTTCTTTTGCGTTTGCTTTTGATCAGCGGAGGCCGATAACACTCTGTGCATTTTGGTCTAGTTAGCCTGTGCGACTTCTCGATATCAAAAAGGGGAGGGCAGAGGCAGATTTGATCAAAACATACCATTTCTAGGGTCCACACTCTCCGGATCCAGACTTTTAGTTTACCTTCTACCCCCTCGACGTTCTCAAGCTCGACACCTTCCCACCAGCATCGCCGAGCTGGCTTTCTCCAGAATAGGAGCAGCTTCTGTGCCATGCCGACAGCATTGCTATTGGCCATATCGCCTCTGATGTCGGTCCGTAGCTTGGCCAGCGCCAGGCTACATATCACAGCCTTGTTTGGCTCGCCAGCACGATGGCCCCATCTGTCATCATGGTTGAATCCCCTGCACCGGACGCTGTTAGACGGGATGAATAAAAAATATATTATTATTTTTTTATCATAGATGTGTAAACTTACCCTGCAGTTAGCATTTCAATGAGATGTTGTTCGGTGGATCCAGGCTCATCACTTTTCCGTAGTCCTGAGAAGATCCCATCCTGCTTGAGTAAGGCACGGCCGGCAGCTCGCTTGATCTCCATCATCTCAGGATGCTCAATCTCCGCAGTTGGAGGGATGGCGTAGAAATCTAGGTCTTCGCGCAGGACGATGATTCCAGCACGATCCTGCAGCATGTCTCGCGCAGGGTTCGGGATGGGATCAGCCGCCTCAACAGTGGGTGATGTAGTTGGAGAAGGTGAAGAAGACGGGATTGACTGAGCAACAGCTCGGAAGAAATCTAGCATGTATTGAAGCGATAGCGGATCATAGTCGACTGGGTATACGTCTCCCTCGTGGAACGAGCCCATGTGTCCATCTGGCAGCAGTCCGTTGGGAAACAGGGACAGTAGAACAAACTCGGGCAATGTAAGGAGCTCGTCGCGGGAGAGAGTGAATCTCATGCCACGCAGATCCAGCGTTATGTGCTCATCTCCGCCGATATCTCCAAGGGAGTTCAGCGGAGGCCCACCAGTCTGCTGGACCTGTGTGATGATACTCGATGCCCCTCCTGCGGCCGCCATCACGTATGTAAAGGACTTGAGTGGGATAGACCCCTCGGTGTACGGAGGCGGAGGCTCACCGTCGTCCTGACCTTTGCCAGACGACTCGCCCTTGTCTCTAGAAAGCTCGGCCTTGGTCTCAGTGACTACTCGAGGAGTGACTGGTGCTGAGGACGGAGAAGCTTCCTCGAACGGAGGCGCCGGAGCAAAAGCGGGTGGTGAAGATGCCCCTGACTCGGCGACTGAGGGTGAAGGGTTGTTGAACCGGTCAAGGCCGACTTCCTCTTCTTCGTGGTCTGCGCTCGAGTAGAGAGACGAAAACGACGGCGGAAGAGGCGAGAGAGCGCTTGATGACGATGAAGAACCGGACGGTAGAGAGTGACGAGGGGGAGGGTTGATGCGTGAATTTCTGTTGTTATCCACGGTGCTGAGATCGGGGGGGGACTTCGCAACTGAGCTGCACCCCTAAAGGCGAGCCTGGAGTTGACTGTGCTGTGTCTGGTAGTAACTGAAAAAAAGGGGAGACGGCCGGGTCTTCAACCTGCGACCCAGAAGCGTCTTCGTCTTTCTTTCCTGTGGTCTCCTTCGAGCCGGCAGTCCAGCTCAGATCAAGGTATTCGGGGCCGGGTCAGAGTGACAAGAGCAGTCCGTCGTTGTTGGGCGTGCGGGTGGTGATGTTGCTCATCGACCATATGGGGGTGTGGCGCTTAACTAACTACCAACTAGGGGGCGATTAGACCAAGGTCGCTCGATGCGACGGGCTCTTTGAGATAGTAATTAGACGGCAGAGGCAGGCCAGACACCGGAGAGACCCAACCAGCTCCTCTAGGACGAAGCAGGCAGCTGAAGGGGACGGTAAAGGTGCGTGTTTGCTGGTGGCTTCTGCTGGCTTGCGGTCTGTTTGCGTCCTGGCGGTCGCTTTGCGTCTGCGGCGACTGCAGGTCACGTGGTGGTCACTTGCAGGTGGGTATTTTGGGATGGGAGAGAGAGACGGGGCAGAGGCAGCGGTGGGCAGAGAAGAGAGAGGAGGTAGCGTTAGAGAGTACCAGAGAGCAGCTGGGGAGTTGCTGCTGGGTTGCTGTAAAGTCTTGCAGGAGTACCGAGTTGCTAGTTACCAACATATAAGAGTTGAGAGTTCGCTGGGTAGTTAACTAGTTCATGGAAACTGCCGGCGATGCCGCTGGGCCCCCCAGGCAGCTGGAGCTTAGTTGCCTCCCACATGATGATTCCTGCTCCAGCTGCTGCAGTCATCTACACTACCCACCGGTGATGTAACTAATGGGGCAGCGGAAGTTCCAGACCTCAGGAAAGGAAATAGTTACTACGGAGTAGGGAAAAATGAGAAAGAAACAAGTGAATTTCGCTCATCTGGCTAAGGGGTATTCTATATAAAAAATGCTAAGATAAAAGGTCTATCTATGGAAGGACATCACTCCCTCCCTCTGCTTCCTATCACACTCCAGTAACTAACTATCCCCAAAAGAGAACGCGCAAGCCAGGGCCTAGCCAAGGAGGTCAATGTCCAAATCAGTGCGGAAGAAACAACCAGGCGGATTGGGTATTCTGTGGTCAACAAGCTGGGATTTCCAAAGAAACTTTTGATAAATGGCATTACGGTCTTCGTCTGCATGCTGCTGATGACTGTCCTCATCTAGGGCTTCTGATAGGGCACGCATATCAGGAAAATAAGGGCGGTGGTGTTGGGGAAGACGTCCTAAGGAATTCTCTGGTAGTCAAGCTCCAGGAGAAGTGTCTGTTTTCCAAGTGTTAGAGAAAAGCAGAAATGAGCGAGACGGGAGTGTAAAACCTACTGGCTTCACTGTGCTCTGTTGAGTCTAGATCTACGGGAAGGGTTCCGGATACCTTGCTCTGCTCCGGGTACAAGGGTCCGCCGGGGTGTAAAGGCTGTTGCACCTGAAAGGTCCATTAGTATGGGCGCAAAACGATCGTAGAAATTCGGGAGAACGTTTCAATTCCAGTACCAGCAGGTAACGAACGTGGTGGCGTGGGTTGGTTCGGGTCGTATTGGGAAAGAAACTATGAGTGAGTACTGACTTTGCGGAACTCGTCACCGTCGACGACAATTTCGCGGTCACGGAGCTGTCTCATCAAAGCAAGGAAGTTGCTCTGTTTGAACTTCTGGCTTTGATCATGGCTCACACGGTCAAGTAGCTCTCCCGCCGTCTTGGACAGTTCATCAGACTCGTTCATGCCTTCTTTAAGCTGGGCGGGTATATTGTCGGAACCGATTCTAATGGTCTCAAGTGGCGCTGGCTCTGATACCTCTGGTGTCACTTCTAAATTCTCCTGTTGCCGCGCAGATTCCTGTAACTCAATTTCTGCGCGGGCCTCCGCAAATGCCGCTTCAAAGGCAGAATCGTCAAAGACCTCGGCTGGCTTCGACTGGCTTTGCAAGTTTTCAGTAGTGGCCGGTGTATAATTATCTGGTCGAGCAAATCCGGGATTACTCAACATGCCCATTCCAGGTCGGTAACCCATACTCCCCTGGAACATGGAAGACTGTGGGGTTTGCTGCACCCCACGCGCGGGCTCATGGTGACGGCCGGCCAAGCTAGCTTGAAATGGAGGCGTATCAACTTTGGTCTGATGTAGTGGTTGCTGTAACTGCGGTCCGGCAATATGCAGGTTTTGGAAATCAGTAGCCCAGCTGGAAACGTCTGCAGCCGGCTGGGGCGCGAACTGGGGAGGCGGAGGTAGGAAGGTGTTTATATTATTTGGCTGATCTAGCAACGGGGCCGAGTGGCCAGCTTCGAAAGCATTGAACGCTGCATCTAGTTGTCCCTGGGACGACGTATTTGATCGAAACCCCTGCAGATAAAAGCCGAGGGAGTTAGCGCAACTGCTCAACCTAGCCTTGTGAAAAGAAGTTCACTTTACCTGAGCAGGAGACTGTCGCGTAGAGATCCTATCCTGCTGAAGGGTCCGGTCTACAGAAGCATGTTTCTGGAAGTTCTGTAGAGCATTTGAAGGGCCGCAGAGTGCGTCTGCCATGGCTGTTTCTTATATAGCTTGCTGCAACACTAGATCAGTCGGTTTGTGAGAAGGAAGAGAAGGAGAATGTCAGGTCCTTTGCAGCAAGAAAGAGGTGGTTCTGCTTTATGAAGATGCAGAGCCAGAGGTATCTTGAGTTACAAAAGTGAAGGAGGGCAAAGGAGTAAAAAAAAAGAGGAGGAAGAAGTGAAAGGAAGAAGTGAAGTTGACATTCGTCTTCATCGCCGAAAGAGGAAGAGGGAGCAGACAACGGCCCGTGACCCTTGGTTGAGCCGAGGCTTATTCCTAAAGAGGAAAGGCGTCGGTAGAAGTACAAAGTATTTCTCCGCCTCTGATTAGATAAGATCCATTTGTGGCTGATGAACTGAGCACGTGATTCAGCCTCTCTTTGCTGTGGCTTGACTTCTCTTTGATGCCAGTTCAACCACTTTGGGAGTTGAACTTCGACCTTGGACACAGAGACAACATCTCGCAGTCCACCATCCTCCCCGCCCCTTCAGTTGATCTGATCTGCTGTGGCGCCAATTGATTAGGCGATACTAGGAGTGACCGCTACAGATAGACAGGATGGTATGCATATTATCCCCCGTTTTGCTCCCCCTTTTCGAGGGCGTCCCCCGCTAACTGGCTGATGCAACAGGCGCAAGTGATAACCAACTCGGGTCATGATGACATGATTGTACGCTCGTTTTCTACCTCTTACGTCTGACTAAACGCAGAATACTAAATTTACCGTGGATAGCATGATGCCGGACTCGATTACTTTGGGCGGAAGCTTGCAACATGCTCCTCAGACAAGACAGTCAAGATCTTTGAAATCGAGGGAGAATCACACAAGCTTCTCGAGACACTTAAGGGGTCAGTTGAAATTTCCGTATGATACCTACTGCCTACTAACGGATTCCTAGTCACGAAGGAGCGGTTTGGTGTGTTGCCTGGGTACGTGATTCTATCCATCTCATACGCTAGAAGCGATTGCTAAACAGCGTCTACCAACAGGCACATCCGAAATACGGCACAATACTGGCATCTTCATCCTACGATGGGAAAGTCCTCATATGGCGTGAACAAAGCGTTGGCAGCGGCGCTAATTCCTCAACCTCCTGGAGCCGCGTGTTTGACTTCTCCCTCCACACTGCTTCCGTAAATATGGTATGCTGGGCACCCCATGAGCTCGGTTGCCTTCTCGCCTGTGCCTCCTCCGACGGACAGGTTAGCGTTCTTGAGTTCCGCGATAATAGCTGGACACATCAGATTTTCCATGCCCACGGGCTCGGAGTCAACTCTATCAGCTGGGCTCCCGCCGCGGCTGCCGGCTCAATCATAAGCACCAACGCTGCAGCAGGCCAATCGAGAAGATTCGTTACTTGTGGAAGTGACAATCTCATATTCATATGGGATTACAAGTATGTGTGCACACTTGCTTTCGCGTTTGACATGTTTAATCAAACGGTAGTGCTAACTTGCTACCCCATACAGCCCCGAGACCAAAACGTATTCTGCCTCGCAAACCCTCCAGGGCCATACCGACTGGGTTCGTGACGTAGCTTGGTCTCCCAGTATCTTATCTCGGTCCTACATTGCATCCGCATCCCAAGACAAGACCGTACGAATCTGGACTTCAGACCCATCTAACCCTCAGGAATGGACAAGTGAGAAACTGGAATTCGATACTGTTGTCTGGCGCGTCAGCTGGAGTCTAAGTGGCAACATCCTTGCTGTCAGCGGCGGTGATAACAAGGTCAGCTTGTGGAAGGAGGATCTCAAGGGGAAGTGGGAGAAAGTCAAGGATATCGAGGAGTGAACATGGCCCAGCGGGTAAAAAAAATAAAATTAAAGAGGGCGGTTCTGAATACAAGGTCATTTAATTCCCGACTGCTTTGATATATTCTGTGCTGTCTATCTGCTCGTCTGTCTGTTATGTCTTTGGGAGTTTGAGTTTTAAGACCGGTGGGAAAACATGTTCGGAGCGGCTGCTTCGTTCCTCCTTTCTATTTATATCCCTCTCTTTGATTTCCTATATTATCATGAAAATAGTCACGGTAGATTCAATACCCAAAATCCTTACTCGACTCCAGCGAAGGGAGAATCCCATGAATCTATATACATACCCGGCACGCCCGCCATATATCGAGAGATCTAATCAACATAAATTCTCCAAGCTTCACCCTCAATCCCAACTTCAACTTAGGCCTCCTTCCCATCCATCATCAAGAGATAGAAAAAGGCAAAGTAGCATCAATCAGCGGAGAAATACCTACGTTAGGAGTGAAAAGCAGCAAATAAAAAAGCATAGTGCCNNCT